GAGGAGTGGCTGGTGGGTTTGAACCACCGGCCTTCTGGTTAGCAGTCAAGTGCCTTAGGCACTATGCTACCAGAGCTCCTTCCGTAGTGATACTGCCTCGGAAACCCAAGGAGGGGTCGCTATGAGACTTGACGGCACATAACAACAACAACAACTATAGCAACTGGCACATTGTATTAAATATTTACCTCTCTGTCTCCTCTATAAATTAGCTATTACATTTTCTAAGGGTGGGTGACTCCTGGCAACTGGCATACATTTCAAAAAGAGGTGGCTCCCAGGTCATTGCAGAAATATCCTAAATTTACAATGACAAGTTATCTAAAGTGAATTCTGAAGGAAGAATCCTCTTCCCTTATTTTCAAATGGGAGAATTAAAACCTGTTATTTTCGATTTGCATTTACCCTTTCAGGGTTCAGGAGTGAATGCTTGTTTGGAATTCTGTGGAAAAATCTACAGTTTAGATAAGGAAAACACTTCTCTTAGCCCCGAGGGAATGGAATGCTTACAAAGTATCAGAAACAGGGCCAAAAGTGGGGGAAAAAAAACCCCAAAGAACATTAGACTGATTGTTGTTGTGTGCGGTGGAGTCGGCCCTGACTCCTACTCCTAGGGACCCCTCCTTGGGTTTCTGAGGCAGTATCACTACGGAAGTAGGATTGCCCAACCTTCCTTTTGAGGAGTGGCTGGTGGGTTTGAACCGCCAGTCTTCTGGTTAGCAGTTAAGTGCTTTAGCCACTATGCTACCAGAGCTCCCATTGATAAATGGTGGTTAAAGCATTGACTTCAATCTTGGCTATTCTCATGTTCACTAATTCCTAAGAAAACACCAACCAAAAGTATTAGAAACTCTGGCATATTGTTTATGAGATTATATATTTTTTGAAGTGAGTCTCTGAAAGCACTTTGTAGGAGAGATGGCTTCAGGGTAAATAATACAGTTAAATTGGAGGGAGGGAGCTATGAGGTTTGTTCCTTCCCCTCATCAGCCTTTAGCATTTGTCCCAAGAAGTAAGGAAAAGTTAATAGATTTATCTAATGTGATAAATTCAGGGGCAAAACCCTGGCTAAACATACAAATTTTATCCTTAACCTTTTTGCTAGTCCTTTGTTAAGAGATTACCCTCCAACTCCCCCCCTTTTTTTTGCTTTTATGCAGAACCAAATGGCTACAACTCCTCCTGGTTGCCACAATAGCCTGGACTCCAGATACTATAGACTTTGTGATACGAAGGAAGTTTGGGGCATCGTTCTTGAAGCATTCGCCCTGGTGGGGGCTGTGACCTCAGTCGCCTTCATGTTTGCTCTCCTGGTCCTCGTCTGTAAGGTGCAGGACTCCAACAAGCGAAAAGTGCTCCCAACCCAGTTTCTCTTCCTCCTGGGGGTGTTGGGGATCTTCGGCCTCACCTTTGCCTTCATCATCAAACTGGACAGGTGGACGGGGCCCACGCGCTTCTTCCTTTTTGGCATCCTCTTTGCCCTTTGCTTCTCCTGCCTCCTGGCTCATGCTTTCAACTTGACAAAGCTGGTCTGTGGGAGGAAGCCCCTCTCCTTGTTGATGATTCTGGGCCTGGCTGTGGGCTTCAGCCTGGTACAGGATATCATCGCTATTGAATACATCGTCCTCACCATGAACAAGACCAATACCAATATCTTTTCTGAGCTTTCTGCTCCTCGTCGCAATGAAGATTTTGTCATGTTGCTCATTTACGTCCTTTTCTTAATGGCACTGACCTTCCTCATGTCCTCCTTCACCTTCTGTGGATCCTTCACTGGCTGGAAGAGACATGGGGCACACATCTTCCTCACCATGCTCCTCTCCATTGTCATTTGGGTGGTATGGATCATCCTGCTTTTGAATCATACTCCTGGCCCCAACTGGGATGACACCATCCTCAGCTCAGCCTTGGTTGCCAATGGCTGGGTTTTCTTGTTGACTTATGTTGTACCTGAGTTCCAGCTGCTAACCAACCAAAGGAACCCCATGGATTACCCTATGGAGGATGCTTTTTGTAAACCTCAAGTCATAAAGCAGAGCAGAGGTGTGGAGAACAGAGCTTACTCTCAAGAGGAAATCACTCAAGGTACACAGCCTGGCTGGGTGGAGAATTCCTCATAGGAAAATGGGGAGAGTCATAGGATGTTATAACAATAAGGAACATGTGAAAATTTCCAGCACATATCCCTTATTGAAGGAGCTCTGGTGGCGCAATGCCTAAGGCATTTGACTACTAACCAGAAGGTTGGTGGTTCAAAACTGCCAGCCTTCAGAACAGAAGGAAGATGGGGCAATCTACTTCCATAAAGATTTACAACCTTGGAAACCCAATGGGGGTCGCTATGAGTTGGAATCAACTCAATAACAGTGGATTTGGTTTTGATTATTCCTTATAGAATAAATAAGGTGCTCAAGGCTCAGATATTGCCTAAAACCATTTAGTTGGTTAGAGATAAGCAGAAACTGATCTCTGGAATCCTAATCTAGTACACTCTATGCAATATCATGTAGTTTTCTCTGAACCAAGATAAGATGGAACAAAGGCATGAAAAAGGAGTGGCTACAACAGTTCCTAGAGACAAGTAGATGAGATTGAGTATAAAAGACAAGTGGATGGAACTGAACTCACTCCTGTAGCTTCCAGGCAAACAATAGATAGGCATATGTGGTGGACATTTACATCAAGGAGATACACTCCTTGGAGCGTCAGTCAGTCAGTCAGTCGAAGGAGAACAGAAGGGCAGTGTTTGTACAAGGAGACAGCTTGCGGTGGGGGTGGGGGTGCGGGAGTACATGGGAGGGAAGGACACAGGGAAGAGGGAACTATAGGAAGGAAGTGGGAGGAGAGCTGTTACATTGTGGGGAATTACAGTCGATGTCAGGAAACAAAATGTGTATGAACTGCTGTATGGAAAATGAATTTGCTCTGTAAACTTTTTCCCAAATCACAATAAAGGTAAAAAAGAAAAAAAAAAAAAAAGATAACTAGGCATTCCTTTTAGAATTGTGAAAGGAGAGGTAAATAGCTTGCATTTATAGATTTAAGAGCATAAAGCCAAGCCAGGATTTCCTGCAGTGGAGCAGAGGAGAAAACCAGCCCTTTCTAACATAAGCCAGCAGGAAGCTTCATAAAGTTACTGAGGAGTCCTGTTTATTCTGAAGAGCCACATTTTATTGCCTGTTTCTAGGCTCATGGAAAGGAAAGATCTTATCTGACATAAAAGAATCTAATGATTTTATTCTAGCCTGGAGCTGTGAGAGTCGGGTAGGTATTCTGTTGCTCATAAGAAAAAGAGGCCAAACTGATAGCCAGAAAAGGTCCTTGTCAATGGGGATCTCTTCATTGGTCTCCAGTGTTTACTTTGATTTTTCGCTTTATTCAGGGGAGGTAGTATTTTGGGACAGGAGTGAGGAACCTCCAAGGCCAAGCTCTTTTGATCCAGCTAACAGCAGGTTGTGGCTCCTCTTGGAGCCACAGGTGCAAAGTGTCCTGGTGCCTTCTTACAATCACTGTGGTCCTGCTCCTGGACACTTGGAAGCCTGAAGGGAATAAGAGGACAGAAGGGGACATTTTCCCCACCCAAGCCCTCCTGTCGGTTCCCACGGCTTTACTCTGTCACTTCACTTCTAGGCTCCCCGCAGTCCTTACCAACTGCTTATCCTTCCTGTAATTCTCCTTTCAATTCATTGTAAGGCCCACTGTTAGGTTCTCTCCCTAAAATACCTCCCCACACTTTCCTGCTCACATATTTCACTGACTCCCCATTATCCCCAACACCATATCAAATCCTCAGCAAAGTTCAGTAACCACTGAGGCTTTGCTCTCAGTTCAGACAAACCAAGTTGCTGCATTTTCCTGTCTCTGTATCTGGGCTGGGGTGCTTCTGTCCTGTGCCTGACATGCCCTTCTTTCCTATTCTTACCTTTTCCCAGAGTCAGACATTGCCCAGTCTCCGTCTGTCATCACCCCTCCCCCTGTCTGTCCTGAGTGTCAGTGGAACTTTGAAATACTCTTATCAGAGTCTGTCTCACGAGTTATTTATGTACCTGTCATATACTCCTTAATTTGTAGTATCAGCTTCAGGACAGGGAACATTTCTGGTTAATACTTATATTCTTACATATAGAAGATACATAAGAATTTTTTTTTTTCAGTTAATTAAGCAGGTAATTTTGGTGAAAGATAAATGGATGGTTTTAAATTGTATTTATGATAATTCCATGTTTACCCTTCTGTTCCTTATTTTAAAGCCCTCTGATTTTTCCAGTAAAAAATAGAAAACAATTGCTCATAAATTCTGTGCCTCCACCAAAGAAAATTAATAAAATCACTATTATTTTTTTCTCTCCATGAAGACAAGGGAGTGGGAAAAACCCCCAGTAAGACTCACTCTAGGTTTCCCTCTGGGCAGATTCATATCTGAAAAACTAGTTTTTAATCACTTTTCAAATATGCTTTTGAAGTGGTCCTTAGACGAAGTGGGGCTCAGATCAAGCTTTGGGAGTGGAATTTCTTAGAGTCCACATACTGCTAGTTATTAATTTATTTAACCAATATTGTGTTTATTCTTTGTCTCATGTTGGGCTTGGCACTGGGTGAACAGAACAGAGTCCTCCCTTCAAAATCTTGCAGTCTACTGGGGAGGTAGAGAGTTGAATGATCAATATGTCACACTGTGATAAGTGATACAGTTGAGTGACTATAGGTGGGAGCCCAAAAGAGGGACATTTAATGCTTTAATGTTTCTCTCACTTTGTTCCAGGTCTTGAAGAGATAGGTGACACACTCTATGCCCCATATGCCACCCATTTTCAGCTGCAGGTAAATGATCTCTTTTTCTTTCTTCCTCTGAGACATCAGCACCCCAGGAATGCTTGTCCTTTGGGAGTAGATGACATCACTACTCTGGTGACTTCTAGATGTCCACTTTGAAAGGATGATGTGTCTACTCTCACATAACCTGACTTATGGGGTTGAGATGGCAAGAACTGAGCACTGGGCACAGAAAGGACTTTTTGGGGAGGGTTTGGGAAAAAGAGAGGGAAATGAGATTTCTGTGGAGATGGTCAGGAGCTACGGTGGCCTAACAATATGATTGTCCTTTTCAGAATCGGACCACCCAAAAGGATTTCTCCATTCCACGGGCCCATACTCAGGCGAGTCCTTACAACAACTATGAAGGAAGAAAAGAGCTCAGCTAACTCTGTTCTGAAGAGTGGGACAACCACAGCAAAGAAGCAGAACCAGAGGGGAGTCCAAGGGGATATGGGCTAAATCCAGTCTTCTAAGAAAATTGTACAGAATGTTATAGGAAGAGCTTGCCTCCCTCCCAGCCTCAGTCACTACTATTCCGCGTTGAAGCAGTGGGGATTAATAAGGCTCCAGTTCTTAGAAACATTGTAATGTTTTTCCTTTGGCATATACTTAGGATACTTCTTATAAGTGGGAGTTTCTGGCAACTCGGGATTATACTCTTACTATTCACTGTCATTTTACAAGTGACTAACTGTTTGGTCATCTGACCATCATATTGGCTCATTTAGCTTCAGGCACCAACTCATTTAAGTCAAGGTGGATCTTGGAAGGATTGCAGAACTGCAGATCTGTACACAAACAGCAAAGGCCTGCCTGAGCCTCACCCCGCCTAAATGTACACTGGAAGCTAACTTCCTGGCACCCTCCCTTCTTGCCTGGGCAGAAGAGGCTAAAGGTCACCCTCATTTTACTCATCTCTATGGCACTGCCTAACATGGCCTCTGAGGCTGCTCAGGACCAGTTCACAGCCCACCTGTCTCCAGTAGCATTTCCACACCTGCTGTTAATCCCCAGACCTAGTCTTCCCCCTACGCTTTACCAAGAGTTCTTCTGGACCTCACTATCATTTTGCACGCCCACTTTCCCTTTGCTGGGAGAATTTGTGCAGTATTCTTGCTATAAATTCCTGGCTCTGGATCCTTCTCCCATCCCTTGCTCCTCAATCTCTGTAAATGAATTGATAGTGTACTCCCCTCCTGTATTCTCTAAGTGGGCATTGTCTACTAACTGGGTAGTGTTCATTGTGTAATAAGTTATTCTCCATTCCTCACCTGGAATACCCAATAAAGACGTGGTAACTCTCCCACTGTGGCAGCAGCTGTGCAAGTTTTGGGCATTAAGCATTGAAGTGAGAAACAGCAGGTTCCCCTGTTGGGCTTCATGTTGGAGCTGACATTCTAAGTTCAGTTCTACTAGGTTTGTGCTTGACCCTTCTCCACATGTCTTTCCCAAAGTTTAGAGGCTGGCAAGGTTGAGGAGGGCAGTCAGGCAGGGTCATGGATACTAGGGTTTTAACCCAGAAAGGCAAAGGAATGGCAACCTTGGAATGGGGTTTGGCAGCCCGGGAAAGACAGAGAGGAGACCTCAAAACCAGTTTCACATTTCATCCAAGGTTTAGTTGTAGGAGGGGACAAATCCAGATCCCTTATTTGACAGAATTGGTTCACAGTTTCTCACAGCAAAAACCTGGCACCTAATAATTACTAATAATCCAAGAAGCAGCTCTGTGGGGCAAGACTATAGTGAATCTTTCTGTGTAGAAGGATCAACAACAATAAAAAAGATCCCTATACCCAGAAATTGTATTTTGAAATTTGTAGGCTGAGTCAGGGAGTTAACCTCCTAAGGGTCTGACACTGTTTTTCATCAAAGGGAAAGACCAGTGTGGGACAGAGGTGAGGTGAGATGAGTTTGGAGGTGAATTAGTAATGTGTTGAGTTAGGACTCTTACATTCCACAAGTGTTTATTTTTTCTCCACATGGCTTTACGCTAATATTAGCCGAGTATTGAAAGGGGGAATTAACAAGTAATGATTCGTGTCCTTCTCATTATTCTAGTCTCCTCCAATAGTCCATAACCTAGTAAGGTTTGTTGTGAGGAAAAAAACAATACTGTTTCACACATGTTACCTGTCACAGTGTAGGTCCTCCAGAAGTGCATGTCCCCACTCCACTCCTTTTCTTTCCTTCTCCAGTATCCCTCCTATCAACCAAGCAGTGAAGAATGAAAACTAGTAAAACTGGTTGCTGTCGAGTCAGTTCTGATTCATGGCAACCCCATGCATGTCTGAGTGGAACTGTGCTCCATAAAGTTTTCAGTGACTGATTTTTCAAAGTGGATCTCCAGGCCTTTCTTCCAAGGTAACCCTGGGTAGACTGGAACTGCCAATCTTTCAGTTAACAGCTAAGCTTGGTGGCCATTTATATCATCCAGAGACTCCAGATGGGGGCGGGAGGATGAGTGGAAGATACAGCCCCAAAATGCTCTGGACTCATTCTCTGACCAGGGAAAAGAATGGCTGCATTCCTCACGTCAATCTCTTCAAAATCTGGAAAGGACCTGGAAATAGTATCCATCTCTGGCAATTTGTTTCTCTTCTAAGAAATAGAGTGGTCTCCATAGTCGTTGGGTAAATAGGTCATCACCTCACTGGATTCTTGTCCTTGCCAGGTGGTAGAAGAATGCTCCCCATTTGAACAACACTCATCACCCCTCATGGCTCTTAATCCTTCTTCAATTTTCGTATCTTTTATGCACAAAAATAAGCTTTTACGTTAAAATGGGAAATCTCAGGCGCTGGAGATTTTGGTACCTGAGAATTCTTAAGATATTGGAGAAAACAAAACCAAACCCATTGCCATCAAATTGATTCTGACTCATAGTGACTCTATAGGACAGAGTAGAACTTCCCTATAGGATTTCCAAGATTGTAAATCTTTACAGAGCAGACTGCTTAATTTGTCTCCTGCAGGGAGACTGGTGGGTTTGAACTGCCAACCTTTTGGTTTGCAGGTGAGTGCTTTAACCATTATGCCACCAGAACTCCTGATGTTGGAGAAGAGGTTTTCAAATCCCTTCCTATAAATTGCCATCTCTACCTAGGCTGAAACAACGTGCAAATGTAGCCCAACCTGGTCCTTGGGTGATGTCAGTTGATTGATGACTGGGAACCAACATGGCATCTCCTTTGAGCTAAATGGGTGATAATGCAATGAAGCCCAGCAATCTTTCTCTCATTTGTCATTGTCAGATGAGAGAAATAGACTGTCTTATCTCGGCATCTCACTTTAGATTGAGAACTAGCCAAAGCTGCTATACCCCATGAAGCCACTTGATGGCAGTAAAACCTCAAGTATCTATCAATTTGGCCTCTTTCAATAGCCAATTTTTAAAGCTGCTTCCTTGTGAAAAGCAAGAGGCTGAACTGAAGATACTCAGTAGGCTCCAAGCAAACGAGCCTCATTAGAAGGCTTGTATTTATGAGCTGTGTGCTTCCTCCTTCCCATCATCTTTGAAGAATTTATTCTTAATAGACTTTGGCAGATGGTGGTGCAGTGGTTTAAGTGCTGGGCTGCTAGCCTTAAAAGTCAATGGTTTGAACCCACCAATCCCTCTGCAGGAGGATGTGGCAGTCTGCTTCTGTAAAAATTACAGCCTTGGAAATTCTATGGGAAGCTCTATTCTGTCCTGTAAGATTTCTATGAGTTAGAATCAATGTTTTTTTTTTTTTTCAAACCTTGGCAGCATTTCATTGTCCTTTGTCTTATTTTTATGAAACTCTCCAAGGTATTTCCAGCCCATTTGCATGCAATCTGGGATTTTTACAGATGTGGGTCTGATATGCTGTTGTTATTAATCTCGACTAGTATTTATGTGGTGAGAACATTGGCTTTTTGTTAGGGAAAGTGTGCCAAAACAAAGAGGACAGCCTGGCCCTGGAAATGCAGCAGCAATGAAACCCGTTTTTCCCATGCAATTTGGGTTTCCTTCATTTTCACGCTTGACTGCTGAGAACTGAACGGGGCCCAGCTGACCTTTCCCTTCCTTATGCATTGTCTTCTGCTCTTCCCAGAGGGGTCAGGTTTGCCACTCTCCATTCCCAATCTGAAACATGGGATTATTTCAGAATTGGAGGTAGCAGCTTCAGAAAAATCTAACTGTCTGAAGTGTTGATGGCTGAGATCTAAGACCTGGGAAATCAGCCTCTATTTTGTCAATGATTCTCTTTAGAAATTCCAACTTTGTGGTCATTTCCTGGAATTCCTTCCATCCAGTGCTGACAGTGCTTTGCCCTCCATGGCTAAAGGATGTTCTAGGTGTATATATAGGTCTGAGTGGCCATAGTAATGGTGCTTGTCCATAATTGTTGCAACCTTGGAGGGGTCGCTATGAGTTGAAATTGACTCGACTGCATATAACAACAATAACAACAACTAGATGCCGACAACCTTCTCAACCCTTCGGAATAGAAGACTCCAGAGCTTGCAAGTTCAGGGTTTGAGGAGGTCACAGAGATCCTCTAGTTGGTGGCTCCACAGCCCTCATTTTACAGGAAAGGAAACTTGGGCCTAGTGGAGTTCATACAACCAGGCCAAGATTTCTGTTTCTGTCTCTTTCTTTCTTTCTTTTTTTTTTTTT